TCTCTTTGTGATATAAAGGCTGTGACTGTGTGTCTGTGGAGCTGTAGTGTTGAGATTACAGTGACACCATTATAAATTTTGTATGGAAATCTCAAATATCAGGGACTGCAATTGTATTTATATTACATTATTAATAAATAAAAAGTGACCTTAATGTACTTTGCAGTTATTTTTACATTTATTTCTATGCCGTCACTCCAACCCTTTTCATATTTATAAAGAAATATGCATATCATCCACCTAAAAGGGATCATATTATTAAGATACTATATCTGGTATTTGTAAAATACAAACCTGTGGTGTAAAAAGGCCTCTTTTATTTTGATAAGACTAACACACGTAACCACAACTGAAAGTACCCATTCTAAAGAATGTTGAACGGTTTATGTGTTGACATATAAGCAGTGCCTATAGAAAATGGAAGTCTTTATCCGTAGCCTAAGTAACCACAGCAGTCAGGCACATGTCAAAGGGTACAAAGTGCAAAATTGCTCTCAAAAAATGTGAAGTACAAGCAATTTCCTCCAAATGGAAATTAAAGTAGCTCGAAAACTGCACCTGAATGCAGCAGGATGTCAGCCCTGAGCATGCTGCCAACAGTCACTGAACCAGAGGTTTCACCTGTCAGACTTTTGAAGCACACCCATTACACTATTATTAGTGCTGTATAGCTCATTGTCTCAGTGTTATCTTTATGGTCCTATTTCAACTTAATGCCTTTATGTAGGTTAAATTGTCAGGCGAGGCTGGGTAGGGAAGCTCTACCCGTTGCAGAAAAAAAAAAAAAAGACACCACTGTCACTGACTCTGTAGCACTATTACATCAGGAGAGTGCCAGTCACATGCGGCAAGGTGACAGCAAACTCACAGACAGTCCGTGGAGATTAATTATAGCAAATAATACAAGGGACTCCTTCGAGACCTGCCTGTTGATTCATGAAACCGCAAAGCCCCTCAAAAAAATAAATAAATAAAGTAAGAGAGACAGAGAGAGCAAATGAAGTGTTCTAAGTTATTGCATCCATGCGGGCGCTCCGTGCGCAGCGTCCGCGGGCGGAGGAGCGCTGCAGGCGCACTCGCAGTTTGTTTACAAAGCGCTGTCCGTCAGTCTTCTTTCGCAACGACAGCGGGGGGGCAGTCAGTGGCAAGAAGCGAGGACGTTCACCCTCTGTCACACACACGCGAAAAGTACATTTAAAAAAAAAAAAAAGCCGAGAAAGAGTCACCCTTACCTCTCAGGCTGCCGTCCTTTTCTCATAAAACGCAGGCAGAGGCTGCAGCGGCGTGAGCAACCTACAACAGGAGTCTCTCAGTCCGTCAGCCAGCCGTCTACTTTCCAACAGTTCCCTTTACAGTTCACTGCTCTCTCTCCCTCTCTCTCTCACACACTCTCTGACAGACCGCCCACTTCCGGTGGCTCTTGAACGTCTGCGGAGGGTTCAACAGTTTCTGCTGATGATTGATTTGGACTAATGCCGGAACGAGGCTGAAGCAGGTGGCAATCAATCAAACTTTATTTGTATATTCAGGCCAGGCAATAACAAGAAAAACACACAGTAGACATCTGTTATTGCATCTGCTGCAACTCCGTCTATTGCTATATTTAATATTTAATTTATTTATCCTATATTTTTCATGCAGCCTATTCATTGTCTGATGTGCCCAATCTTAAAATACTTTATTTTGTGCGACATTATAGGCTGCAAATTATACAAATGAATTGCCAAACATTCATAAAGCATTAAGCGAATATGTATTGTTATTATTATTAATATGAGACTTCCTAATAGATAAAATGAAAGAGAGAGAGCACCTTGGTGCAGATCCTTAAACTCGGACTCACTTTTCTCTGACTCTGTGATCAGAGCTGTTCTCTGCTGCACACAGTTAGAAGCAGACGGGTTGATTAGATTAAATCTAATCTACTGTACAGTAAATCTTCCATCCAACTCAGTGCATCGCTCCCAAATCTGCCGCCCTTAATCTGGAGAATAGCGACGCCGTCTGGTGAAAACTGAGTTTAAGTCTATCATTGTTCTGTTGCATTTAGGTATTTCTAAAAATCACATAGAATCTGATTTTTTTTCTTTGTTTGATAGTTGTGTTTACCCGCTATATGTACAAACTTCCTTTAGATAAATCCATACACACGCGCACACACACACTCACACACTCACACACACATGCACACATGCACACACACACACACTCACGCACACACACAGGAGCGAGGTGGCAGGGACCAAAGATAAACCTGCCAACTCTCATTAGAAGACTATGTGCGCCTGAGGCAGCAGAGCCACATATTGTTGCCAGAGACAAAACAAAATACAGATAAAAGAGAAACAGCCACTATGTAATCACTTGTTGATGAAGAAAAAAGAAAAAAAAGAAAGTCAATTCTGTTTTATTGTGCCTTATTGATCGCACAGATGCATCAAAAGCCACACTTGATCCTGTACCAGCAGTGCTTTGTGCAGTGGGGGAAATACGATTTTAATCTTTGTTCTGTGTTATTATCTGTTTCAGTGTGTTATGAAAGACGAAGAGATTGAAATAAATAAATAACACATTAAGATGGAATAAAAATGTTGCTATAAACAGGATTTACAGTGTGTAATGTATGAAGTGACCCAGCTGATTCTAAACATATTGTGGAGCCTAAACTGTTAGTGTCATATGAAGTATACAAAATCTGTCTTATCTGTCAGATAAGTATAGTTGAGAAAAAACTGCATATACAATTTCCAAAAAAGGAAACTCTCAAATGAATTATGAGTACCTCAAAATATACTTTATGTATGTATGTTTGTTACAGTATGTGTCTAAAAGTCCGGAGTTTTAATGTTGCTGCTGACTGAAACTAATCTGAAAAAAAAACCCCATGCAGAAATAAACCCCTTAATTTTCCCACATTCATGTCAAAAAGTCACAACTGAGACTAGCAGTTTCTCTCCCTCAAACACACGCCCTCACACCTAACCCAGCCAGCCACCACACACTGCAACCCTGCTTCATCGATTCTACGGATTGATTGGCTGCAGGCCCTGAAGAGTGACAGTTGCTTCCTCAGACAGCTGAGTCAGCAGCTGCTGACGGTAATAGCTGTACATCTCCACACCCCCTCATCTCCTCAAACCAGTCTGTGCTCACTTCCTATCAGCAAGACAAACAGGGCACACATGAGACTGAGAGTGAGCGAGCGGTGTCGAGCGAGGCAGAGGCCCAGTGATGCAGAAACTTCTTCCCTACTGTTTTTTTTTTATTTAGATTTTATTATAGCTGCTTTATCTCAGCTGTCACATACCCTCCAAAGGACTCATAGGAATCCCAGCAGTCACACTTGTGCTGTTCATATCAGCGCTACCAACAAGAAGAAGTGGAGTCACACGCAAATATGGGGTTTCCAGTCAGGGAAGTCCAATGACCCCGGTGTTGAGAGATCTGTCATCACAAAGAGAAATGTCCTGGGGGACTGGAAATAGGAAGTGAAGTGATGGGTGATATCTTACATGATATATTTAAAATTAAAATCCCAGGAACTACAATTGAAACTAAATTATTATTTCAAATCATGGTGGCAATCATTCTTCCACGGGCCCTCTGTGTTTCCTCTTGAAGGGCCTCAACCTGTTAACAGTTTGACACAAATTCATGTTTTTTGGCCCCACTTACTGTAGGTTTCCCACTCTTTGACATGACATCATACTCTGGATTTTATTTTTATTTTGTTTAAAATAACAATAAAAAAAGTACCTAGGGTTAACTGTCTGTGCTGTTGAATTGTTGTTTAGAAATTAGACCTCTCAAATTCATTTCTGTTTCCTTTTTGCACATGAAAGGACCTCATGGAGTGAAAGGGTCAGATGGAGCTTTTTTTCTGTTTAATTTTAGAGTGGATCTAAAATAATCTTTCTTGCATTACACCTCAGCTCTTTGTCCCTCCAGCTGGCAGTGCAGGACCAACAGGGGCCCTGAGTTTATTGCTTGCATATTATTCATTACATGTTGCTTTATTACTTGTCTTAAATCTTTGGATTTCCTCTTTGGTAATGGCCTGTTGTTATGGGTTTCCCCTCTACACTGGCGCATTTAAGCTCATTTCCAATCATCAACTCATTCCTGCTGCGGGTACTCAGCCAGTTCCTAAAAAACGTTACACAGGCGATCTTATCAGGGCTTGTTTTACCTTTAGAATGAAGTTCTCCAACAAAACCTGTTTTTGTTTCATCTGGCTTGATCAGAAGGCAACTGAACAATGGAACTTCAGCTCGTCACTTCTGGTGCAGCATCACAGTGCTCTGAGTCACGAACGGTGACGTCCTCATCCATCGTCGTCTTATCTGGTATCTGTTCTTTATTCATCATCTGTTTTATCTGCGACATTCAGGACCAGCAGTACATTTAAACATGACAAACATTGCACATCAATTGGTACATAAACCACTGAATGATACATAAATGAAACTGTCTCAGATGTTAAGTCTGAAACACGTTGAATATGTTGTGCGGTAGAATTGTAAAACTGTGGCAACAAGCCATGTAACCACTAAAGGCTCTTTCGCCCATTGGAATCCCTTTGAAATGTTATTTTGGAACACTGACTGCAAAGATAAACTAAACATTAAGTAATTTTTGACTCAGGTTACACGTTAACAAGTCTTTCTTTCCATCACATTGAATCTTAACTTGTCCTTCACACTACTGTGCACCATAAACATCAGCCAAGACGGCTGTTGTTAACTGGCTGTTTAATAAGTTATTTATTTTTGGTCGTTCGTAGATGTTTCCAGCTTGGTGTATGTTCGATTTATTTCAGTCCGCCAATAATTTGCATATTGTGTCTTCCTGTTAAAGTGGTGACATGGTAATATAATGTTGTATATAAGGTGGATAGCATTCATTTCCATCTCAGATAATACAAATGTCCTGATTCCTGGTCAGGTGCTGTTGAATAATTTAAATTTAGTCAATAATTACACGATAGATCAACAGACAACTTTTAGTGCTAACTTGTTTTTATTGCCTTCTGTCAAATAATGAATAGTTACAGCATATTTTACAGAAAACCTCTTTACATTTTGTGGCATGACAGACAAACAAAAATGTTGTTTGCATTAAACTCAAGTGACAGGGTTTGCTCAACTGTATGAAAGGTTAAAAGTCAACCGCTACACACCTTACTGTGTACACTCTGTTAGAGTGAAATACATCCATGGTTATTTTGATAACAAGTTTGTCCTAAAATACATTGCTCATAAAGTGATTTACATTACATATCTGATCATATCAGGTGAAGTCAGGCACAACCAAAATGTAGAAAATGCTAATTTCAAAAGCAAGTGCAATTCACATGATCACAAATTACAATATTTAAGTGGCAGTGACAAGAAACAGAGCACCACTTCTACAGGCTATGTCATGTAATTTCTTCATTCACTATAAGGGAAAGTAGCATACAGAAAGAAATTACCTCAGAATCGCATTGAATTCGTTCGCTTTTCAAATGGCTCTAAGAAATATATGAAATAATCCAAACCATTTCAAATAAAACAATGTTATTGCGGAAAACCTGTGACATTATATTTGGCAAGAATTGAAAATGGGACAAAACATATTGGAGAGAAACACTAAATGCATAAAAAACGGTCAAAGCACAATTCCAAAGCGGCATAGCTTATACAACAATTATTCTTGTTACATTTTCTTATTCAAAAGAAAAGAACACATTAATTCATAACCATTTTAAAAGTGAACAACGCAAAAATATAATGTTCTCAAAAAATACAATTCCGGACACATAAAAAGGTACATCTATGAAGATGGGAAAGTACTGAATGGGAGCAGGATGCTGCTTACAACAGGTCAGTATCAGTTTCACACACCAAGCTATAGGTGGAAAGTCAAAACGCTTTTTTTTTTTTAAAAGAACATCTTTTTAAAATCACCCAATTCCCTCTGGTGTGAAAGTTTACATAGGAACAAGAAATAAAACTGTACAGGCAGATGTGCACAGAGGGAGAAAGAATCACTGAATCCTCTATCACAACATAATATCAAACAGGGAAAGAACAGAAATGAAGAAACTTGACAAATCTCCTCACATAGGTGATGCTACATCCATGTCCAAAGTGAGTGAATCTGTGGAAAAGATCCAAATACAAGCTGTTAATATGACTTACTAATCAAGTTTTACTGTGTGTAAGTGTGTGTGTTCTTCGACGTATAGCTTTGTGAGCACCAATTTGGAAATGGGGCCTAAGTGTTGGGGCATGTAGTTGTGTTGGTTAAGGTATCAGGAAATCACTGCGTCAATGCGCTTCCTTCAATAGTACAAATATGTGTGTGTATGTACACCATGCGTGTAACTGACTCACCCAAATGTCCTGGATTAGCTTCAGCTTCATTGTGCATCAGGGAGTCAAGGGTACGAGGCGACATGGGGAACAGGTCACTGGTGTTTCCAGAGTTAGTGCTGTGAAAAAAAACAAACAAAAAGGGGAAACATTTTATATTAAAAACTGAAATGCCACTGATGGTCACACACACACACACACACACACACACTCATATTCTGCTATACTGTTTGTGTTAGTCGAAGTACTTTCAATATAACTAAAGTAACAACATCTTTGTCGTCCCACTTAACCAAAAGTTATTAGTCACCAAGAAATTTGTGAGCGTCAGTGTCTTCATTACACTGAACACGTGGTTACCAAAAGTAGAAGGGCTGTGATTCTGCTGCGTTATTCAATACATGTGAATGGTTATTGACTAAAAAGGTGAGTCCATCAGTCTTATCACATAAAAGATAATTCAGCATTCGTGTCAGTATGCAAAGTCATGCCCACAACAAAACAAAAAAAAAAAAAAAGAGCAGATGAAAAATGGGATGGATCTGTGGCAAAATACCAGTAAATGAAACCAGGAAAGACTGGGTAGATGTTCAATATGTTACATAATGCTATTTCAGGCAGTGCTAAGCAGGCACTAACACAAAATGCTTTTAAGTTGAACACTGAACTGATGTTAATAACAGCTACTCAATGTCAAAACAGTTGCTGGTTAGCACAGTAGATGAAGTGGATCGAACACGCCGTTACTCAGACAATTTTCTTTTGTTTCCACCTTTGTTCAAACTGACTTGTCTGTTTCGGTATAGAATGATGCATCTGAGGACACAAATGTCTGGGAAAGTGTGAGTGTGCCCTCAACCGAATGGCAGGAAGAAGCTCTTGGATTAGGACCAAGAAAAGTGAACGATGAGTTGGAAACACAAACAGGAGTTAAGTAGACGGGGGGGGGGCTGCACTGATATCCCTGAAACCCACCCATCAAACACACAAACAAAGGGACAAGATGCACACACAGCCCTACATGCCACCTCCCCCCGAGCTCCTACCCTGGGAATCCGTTCCCAAGCAGCTCACTGTCCGGCAAGTCCATGAACACGGAGGGACACCTACGGAGACAGGTCAGGATCTCACTGAGCAAACCTCACAACGCCACCAAACCCACTACCAACCAATGCACACAGGGCTGTCTGGCCTGTGCACACACTCCCCTCTGATCTCAGTCGACCTCACACCATCGCACTAGTCGAAGATGCTCTACAGGTAATATTTGGTGTAAACAAAAGCAACATGAACTCAGGGTCCTTGTTATATTTTACTACTTCCAATATCTTCCTATTTCTATATATTATATTGCAATTGCATTCACGTTTCCTCTGCTAATGGGTATGCATACAATTTCAGAGGTTAAGTTGTTGATTGTTTGCTATTTAGATTCTTTTGGTCATTTTCCATGTGTATAAATACAAATACAGTTACAACCAAAACACGCTGGTCAGAGTCTGAATGCTTAAAGCTTAATTTGGTGGTTGCCAGAACGCAACAACAACAACAACAGCAACAAGAAGCAGCCCTATATATATAAAGAAAGTGGGTTAGTTTGCTTGCTGCAAACTGAGAAAAGATGATAGTCTGTACTGTTTTGAGTTTGACTGCAGGCCTCACGGTACAGAGATCTGTTGCACAGATATTTGCATATTGAGCATGTAAATTAATTATCAGAACACCCAGTGAAGACATAACCTCATGCCAGATATGAACTGCAATCTGTATAATCTGCACATATCTGGGTTCACAAAACTGAACAGGGTGATGGTTCCTCCAATGTCAAGTGGTGACTCATATTGAGAGTGAAAACAGCTTTGTTCTCTTTTTTTTGAACATTTAGCAACACTAGCCAAAAATTAAAAAAAAAAAAAGGAAGTGCAGATCTTGAGCAGGAACATTCAGAGACGATTTCTTGTCTTTCTAAAAAACAAAAACAAAAGATGATTTAAATACAAGGAAGGACTGACAGATACTTACGGGGTGACGCAGATGAACTTTGTCTTCAAGTATGGCTGAATAGCTGTCAGGGAAAAGAAAACGTTACTGACCGCAACATGCACACGAAGCAATATATGTTGTTTCTCTGAAATTGCACAGATAGCATAAAGAACAAGGCAGTGACTTACTGCCTGTAGAGTCTCCTCCCATTTCAGGTTCAGGAGCTGCTTCTGGCCTGCAGTATTTCCCGAAAGCTTCCTCTTTTGGAATTTCAGGGTAGAGATACACGAGAGGCGAAACCAGAATGTTGGTGGCATCCATAATCTTGTAGCCCATGATGATGTCGGCGAAAGACATGCTGTTGAGCTGCTGCTTGGTGTAGGGCTCCACTGACTGGATCTGGGTCTTTCCTATAAACATTCAAGGAAGCTCAGTGTCACAACAGAAAATAAAGTAAAACCTGGAAATGTTATTAGAAAAAGTCCAAAAGATACTCACCGCTGATGTCCTTTTCTACCCATGTAAATGTAATGCCCCCCTCCTTGCTGCTCTCACTGAAGCGCAGCAGGAAGGTGCCAGGAGGTTTTGGACTAAGTAAAGCCCTCTCCCTCTCCTTACTGATAAAGCCCATGATATACCTGTAGAAAATCAACAGGAAGTCATATAAATAGAATTTTAAAATAGTACGTCTTATTTTCTTATTTTCTCAGGGACTTGGCTGTAAACAAAGGAGGACCTCTCACCCTTCATTCCACAGTGCCAGGATATACTTCTTCACCAGGTCAATAATGTTGTCCAACCACACCCAGAAGGAGAAGCCTTTGCCAGCCATGTTTTCCTGCGAAGAGGAAGGAGAAAAATAACTTTGAAGCAATACAATGGCAAGATGACAGGTTGAACCGCATGACCATTTGTGTTTGGTAAGTACCTTGCAGAACTTGGCCCAAGTGATCTGACAGCCAGAGTAGTTGACACAAGGCCCTGGATGGACAATTACAGAATAACATCACACATTAATATATATCGCAGTGCAAAATAATGTGTTTCAGGAGAAATTTAGATGGGACATCTCACCTAGTAACTTCTCAGCCAGTGTGGTGAGCTGTTCAATGGTCAGGCCTCTCTTGGTGGTGGAAGAAAACTGCCAGCTTAGAACCTCAGCCACCTGGTCCCATGTCCCCACTGGAGGCTTGGTGAAGAAGTTCACATTCTGTACAGAGACAGGCAGGCCAACATAGTTTAAAAGTGTAGATTCTTTTTCACTGCAAATAGATGTACAACTTTAATGTGTAAACATTCCCCAGCGGAGTACAGCCCCTTTCCACCAGAGGGTGCTGTCTTACCTTTGGGTGGTTAGTGAGCATGTTGTACCACAGGATGGAAGCCCAGGCGTTGGGCATCTGACAGATGTTGGAAATAACTACCACAGGAAGGGAATGAGTCTGCAGAAAAAGAAGAAGTATTTATTTCCAGTATCTTTTTCTCTTTTACTTCTATTCCTCGCACAATGGGGTGAAAATGTTCCTGCTTCTATTTCAGTAAACTGTCTCAATGAGACTTCCTCAGGAGGTCCTATCAATAACACTGCTCTTACACAGACTTTTACAGAGGGCCAGCTGCTGTTCTAAGCACGAGATATTTTGGTGTGTAAAAGGAATGTCCTTTGTCGCATGCCAATATCTGGCTTGGATCTTCAACTATAACTGTTCACTCATAAAAGAATGGCATAATTATATAATGCACTGAAATGAAATAATAATAATGAAATGATATGTCAAATTTATTAGAAGATGCATGTTTTAGTGTGCCAACAAACCAGTTGTGGCCAAAGATTAAAGTGAAATAGAAAAAGCCAGGCAATAAACCGCAGCAGCATATATATATATATATATAGATGTTGAGACTGACACAGCGTTTTGACTCAAGAGTCACACACTTAGCTCTAGGGTGTGTTGGAGGTTAGAGGAAATTTTAAATGCATAATACATCAGACATTAAAAGTTAACTTGGTCATAACAGACTATTATGACACTCAAGTATCTGGTGTCTGTATATTCAAAGAAACTGGTTTCTCACCCACAGGGGATCAGGGAACAAAAACATTCAGTGCCAGTTACCCTGCCATCAGCAGTGTAACTCGGGTCGTGTCAATAACTGTTTTTTTTTTTTAGGCTCATTCAAAAGCTGGGGTGGTGACAGTCTCTGGAGGCGGAAGACTTTCTTAATGACTAATACGTCTGGGTACTTACTTTGTATGGAGTGTCAAAGTACAACACTGTTGTGTAATTACAGTGTGCTTTTGAGTTTTATTGACTTCTATTGTTACATGAAAGTTGAACAGTAAGTACAGAGTTGTCTCAAAGTTCATGACACAGAGAAACGATACTGACCTCCAGATCGATCTTCAGTCCTTGGTGATAGACTTCTGTCTCAAAAGTGATGAGATGGAGCTCCTCTGTGACAATCAGAGAGGCCTAGAGAAAGCAGATTATTCAAACCTCTTCCGTATAAAAATTGCATGGCCTGCTCATGTGTATCAAAGGTCAAGAAAACTGTTTATTGCAGAAGTTTAAACTAAAACTTATCATACATACACATAGAATACAGATATCTTAATAAAGAATTTGATCATTAAATTACGACAGCAAGTGTCAGAAATAGTACTTACATCACTATTTGTCCGGCCACCGTTGCCACACCGCTGTTCTCTCAGGGTCTGAAACAAACAGGAAGTTAGTGCTCCATAGCAGGCTTTTTAGCTTCATCACTGTCAGCCAGTAAGAATTTTACCTCTGTAACTCACCAAGTGTTTAAACTCTGCTGACAGGCTGCCATTGTTGGATTCCTCCATGTTCATAACTTTTGTGTTAGTACCGAGGATGTTAAATTTTCGTGACCTAAGAAAATCAAGGAACAGCAGTGAGACTCATTTCTAAAATAATATACAGTAACTGCTCAGGCTTGAAAAGAAAAGGCGTTCCTAAACTCCTCGAACTCACCCTCTAATTGCAGCCACATCCCCCGATTCCCTGAAAAATGAACAATTAGAATCAGTAAATATCTCCTAAAGTCGTCAATCAAATCAGTGTCTTATGTATCTGATCAAGACTTACAATATAAATGTTAGAACCCACAGATGAAAAAACTCACTTGTCAATGCAAACTTTAATTTTCAGCTGGTAATTGAGTTCAGGAAACTTTACCAGTAACCTGAAAAATAAGAGACAAAATATTGCCAACAACACTCATTGGGATAGAAACGTCATGTGGGACACATAAAATATATGTATAAAAATACATTTCTGAGACTTCTGTGTTGCAAACCAGCATCTCACCTGACTTTATTTGTGAACTGCACTCCTGTCTTTATGACCAGAGGTCTGTCTGGATGCATGGGCATACAAGGCTGCCTTTCGACCACAAAAGCACTAGAAGAGGAAGTGGATCATGTTTCAGAGGAAGATATCCAAACAGCTTAACATATGGCGAAGAGTGTCTAAAGGTCAGAGGTGAATGATTTGAAGCTTTTAAGTGCATCTCACAGTCTTCCTTCAGAGAATGGAGATGGCTCAGATGTCAACACATTTGCTAAATGAAGAGCTCAGAATCTCCTCTCCACCACAGGTTTGATTTCCCTTTATTATAATAATTATCAGAACATCTATTACAAATTGATCACTCACTTTTCACATTCAGTGCCTAGTTTACCCAGCTACACTGAGGCCTAACTAGATCCCAGACTCTGAGAAAACAGTCTTGCCTTTGCATTAACAAATAACATCGATGCAGATCATGATAACACTTGCAAGAAATTGTGTAATGATTCATCACATGCAGTACCTCTTCATTAGGTTTCTGAACAAGTCCACAATCTTCTCCTCCAGGGCAGGCCGGTGCTGGATGATGGGGTCTCCTTTGTAGGACACCTTTTGCTGAAGCTCCTCCAGCTTCTTGATCTGCTGACGAATCTGGAGCTGGGACTCAGCCAAGGATGTAATCCTGGTTGGAGAAAGACACCCAGTTCAAGTTAAATGTCTTGCTGAAACACGCCTGTAGTTGTGAACTGGGTGGTTGCTACTGGTGGTTGAGCACATTACAACAAAAACATTTTGGTTGATTTCTATAGAGATTAAGGGAGATCACAAAGAGGGTAAGTAGAGCAGAGTTGAAACCAAAGTCCAGAGTCAGCGTGTTAGCCAAGATAATCTATCTATGGTATAAAAGACACCACAAATACTTACTACTGTAATCATAACCATACTTCCAATAATGACTCTTGGTGGGGTTTTTTAAAGATGGACAGGATGAAAGACCCTCAGTTTTTATATTATTTTATTTGTTTCTAATACGTTCCTAAAAAGCTTTCATCAACATAAAAACACACATTTAGCTTTTTTTTTAATAATCTTTTAAATATGAATCGATCATTATTGTGTGATCAATTTAGCAAACTGCTTCAAATTTGCATTCCTGTTGGTTACCATGTTTCAAGGCGGTCCAGGCAGATGTTAGGTGGACCTCCAATACAGGCAATTTGCTGCCTTCTCTTCCAGTCTGCTAGTTCTTCATCTGTCAGGTTCTTCTGTACATAATCCATGGCGGTCAGCAAGCCTCCCATCTCTGTCACAATTTGCTACAAGACAGGAAGCATAGGAAACATTAAAAATGGGATTAATCAGTTATCGCCTATCTGTGGTCTAAACCTTCTGCCATTGTGAAGGATTTATTTATTTAACATTTGACAATGAATCTGTGCTTATATATCATCAAACATGCATTTATAATGTCCGAATTATATACATATATATATATATATATATATATAGTCCCCATGGAGATCGGAAGAGCACA